AACATTAAACATGTTAACAACACAAAAGCCATATTAAACGCAGACTACTTTAGGCCCGGAAGTAGGAGTCGTCACGTCATCACTTAACGACCGGATAGGGAAACGGCCCTCAGCCCCCTTTGCACTGTGACCTCAGTAAATCCTTTCATGACGGCTTTATGGACTTGATTAGTATTTGTAGGTCAAAAACACCAACGTGGCTTCAAAACACCAAAATTGAAACTGGGAAAACAGCTTGAGGCTTCAACAGGAGTTCACTGAGCAGTGGGAGACATCACAGTGGTTACGCCTATCTTTTCCACTGCCTATATCCTAGCTTAATGTCATATTTAGCATAGAGAGCTAATTACAGGTGCTTTAGGCAAGTGATTTTGTAGATACAACTTAGATAAAGATGAATAAGATTATCTTCCTCCCATCACCCTCAACCAGTCGTGGCCCCTTGCTGAGCCCGGTTCATCTGGAGGTTTCTTCTTGTTAGAATGGAGTTCTTCCTTCCCACTGTCACCAAGTGCTTTCTCACAGGGGTCCATCTGACTTTTGGGTTTTTACCTGTATTATTCTAGGGTCTTACAATATAAAGCGCCTTTCAGCACTATATAAATTGTATAAACACAATTAAATTGAATTGAAAAGAAAGATAAATGTAATCAATCCTAAGCCCTCATAGACTTACAGTTTTATGCACTCAAAAATCAAAAAGTGTCAAGTGGGAATGACTGATATGACCTCTTTTAATAGTTTGACACACCAGACCCACACACATCAAGTATCAGAAAAAAAAAAGAAAAGAAAGAAAAATCATACATTTTGGACATTTGAATACTCCCTCGCTGCCACAGCTAAGTGGCAGTGATGGATGATATTAATCAGCCTGTGGGATCAGACTTCCACTCAAGGAGACAATAGCGTGGCATATGCCCCTGCTACATTTAATGAGGATTTTACAGTGAGAGTGGATGAGCCTCATTCCGAGGAGAGAGGGGATTCTGATGAAGACAAGTTGGAGGGCATTTGCATGTCAAAAAGCCCAGAGACAAAGACAATAGAGGGATTAGCTAGGAGAAACAGATGTCAATGTATGGAGTCTGACACCAGCCACTGTTTCTGGCTCTGTGTTGCATCACACCGTGGTATAGATGTGCTTGTTAGACTGATTTAATATAGGCATCTCCAGCTGCGGTGTGTCTGGATGTTATCCTGGTTTATAAATAATAATATTAAAGGGACAGTTTGATGTTATTTGCTTCTTTTTTGCCAAAGGTTAACATGTTGCTTTAGGCAGCCCAGCTGAGAAGAAAGCTGGAACTTGGGGAAATACGGTAGCTGGGCTGTCATATCATGGTCATTTCATCTATTTAAATGGGGTTTATTCTGTAGACTGTAGGGCTTTGACATGTAGTGTTATCATTTAGAAACCCACTGACGCAAAGAACGAATATAGTCAGACGACTCTTGAGTGGCTGCTTCAAATCTACATATCAACATGTATATTTCAAGTGGATTTTTTTAAGGAATGCCTTCTCCTTCTTTCCCCAGCATCAGTCTTTCTTGATGACTTAGATCCTTGAGAAAATTTAGGGACCAGCTGTATCGCACAGTCTTGAAGTACCCATATGTCTCCACTCAAGTGAAATTGGAAGCAGCCAGTCAAGTAAAAATTGGACATGTGTGGGTGAGTGTTTGAGATGACTCTCGTTTGCAGGGATAATGGGTTTCTTGGTGTGAGGCCCTGTGATTGGCTGATTTCCACGTAGAGATAAAATTATATCTCAAATTGAAAAATCAACATTATATACTTCAAACAATCCTGATACAAGATTCGCAAAAGTGCATTTACACTGTTGACATGCATTTGTTGTGTATAATGACAGAGAGAACACTGATTGGCCAGCTGGGGCAGCACCTCCCTAGAAAAAAAAAAGCATACCCTACACACCTTATGCCTCTCACTCCTAGTCCCTGTACACCATCAGCATGCCGTGGGCTTTCCGAGTCCTGTAATGGAATGAGTTGTGTTTTTGCAGAGCAGACAGGCAAGCAGGGGGAATAAAAATGAAAAAGCAATCACTTAAATTCAAGAGGATGCATGTGTTGTGTGTGCGTGATGATGCATAACATTGTTCTGTCATGCCGCCATCACTGTCTCCTCCCCTAAGCTCTAGAGGCACATCTATCCCTTATTAGCCCCACTGGTTGCTGCAGGTTGTCATCCAGTTAATGGCTCCTGTTAGATTTGTCTTCAGCCACTCAGACAGCAGCCGCTGCCACCGCGTGCTGCAGCGCTGTTATTATCACTATAGATGGTGTAAATGAAGCGTGCTGTATACTGGACATGTATATTAGCTTCACCCCGCCTCCTTGGGGGGGGATTGCTGTCAAGCAGATGAACAACACTGGGTCTGAATCTCACAATGTTCTGCAAATGGTGGTAATCTAAAGGAAACCTATTAGAATTTTTATTTTTATTAATATTTTCTGTGAGTAATCAGCTATTACGTTGGTGCACGCTCATATTAACTATAGCTAAATATTCAAATAATAAGGCCAGTGTACCTAAAAGTGATCATATGCATTGTTGACTTTGCAGATGTCAGAGTGGGAAAACACAGCTCTGGCTGAGGGCACAGAAGCCCCACCCACCTGCTGTTTAAACTTTGTTTGTGAGGGGCAACCAATGAGATAGCTGCCTGTATGCAATGGTTTTGCTCAAAAAGAATCAGGACACCAGAGTTATTTTCTGTACATAAAAATGAGCTTTTATTGAAACTTTTGTATAAAAAAATAGCGACATCCATCCTTCACAGCCACAAGTCACACAGCTAAACTGAAAGGGTCTCCGAATATGAGGCTATGTGACGAGTACGAGCTCCCCATAGAACTCAAATGAATCTCGACAGCACAGAAAACCAGGTGGATTTCTCTGAAACTTAGTCATTCGACATTAACAGACTTCTTAAGTATTTAAATAACATTCAAAAATCCTCTTTTTCAAATTTAAGTAAACGTTTTATTCTGCTTTTACAATGACAACCGCTTTCAGTGCATCTTCCACATCTAAAAAAAAA